ATCGTCCCCTTAATCATTATATAGTGTCCTTCTTTGTCTTTTATGGTGGATTTTGTTTTGTAGAGTGGTACATTCTTAAGGGCTAATTCTGTTTATTAAATGGGTCTCATCTATTTTGACTGTAAGTGAAAAGTCTTGGCTATGACAGACTTTGTCACCTTAATGGTTATTAGTGTGATTTGTCCCAGGTGATAAATAACTGTCCCGAAATAGTTGCCATTCTCTTTCATTGTAAGTTGGATTTTGCATATCTTCCCTGTACCCATTGTATCCATTGCCATTGAGTTGATTTCTACTCATAGTAACCCTAGATTCTGGAGGACAGAGTAGAACTGTCCCATAGGGTTTCCAAGGCTGTGATCTTTATGGAAGCAGTCAGCCACATCTTTCTCCCGTGGAGTTGCTGTGGGTTTGAATCACAACCTTTTAGTTAGCAGCTGAGCACTTAACCCACTGTACCATGAGGACTCCCTGCCTCTGGTCAAATTTGATTTATCTTGGAGGACTAATTCTCAAATTATTTCCCCTCTAAAACACCTTTGGTATCTTTTTTTTTTTAATTCTTTTATTGTTAGGCATTAGCAGTACTTCTTTCTTGTTTCGTCACTTTAATGACCATAATTATTCACTCTTATACTGTCTCCTGATTCCCTGTTGTCCTCATTTCTCTTCTCCCTGTCAACAAACTGTTCTTTCACTGTAGTCAGGACTTCTTGTCCTAAGCACATGTCTTTTCTACCTGATTTTAGTAGAGAATGGCACGGTCTGTCCGTGACATTATCATGTGGATTCCTAAACAGGTCAGTCTAATTTGAAACAAGTCAATCGAATATAAGGAATTAAATACTTTAAAAAGATAAAGCACAATACTGATTAAACATTTAATAGTTTTGTTTGAAGGAGCCCTAGGGGCACAGTGGTTAAGCACTTGGCTGCTAACCGAAAGGTCGACACTTGGAATGCACCAGTGGCTCCGTAGGAGAAAAGACCTGGCAGTCTGCATTTGTAAAGGTTTACAGCCTTGGAAGCTCTATGAGGCAGTTCTGCTCTGTCCTTTAGGGTTGCTGTGAATCGCAATCGACTTGACAGCACAGAACAACAACAATAGTTTTGTTTGAGCTTTATAATTTGAAATTAGTACTGATTTCAAATCTAATTACCTAGGACTCACCTACTTGTTGGTCTTATCAGTTAGTGCTGTTGTCAGTATGTAGTTGTACCGTTGATATTAATCTAACATAAGGTTAAGTATTTTCAGTTGTCAAAGAGCAGGGCCTTCAATGTACCGTTAGTAAGTTTTATGCCTTGTGTTTTCCCTACAGTATCTGCAGACACTTCATTTGCAGTCATGTGACCTGCTTGACATTTTTGGTGGAATCAGCTTCTTCCCATTGGATAAAATGACTTATTTGAAAATCCAGTCCTTTATTAATAGAATGGAGGAAAGCTTGAATATAGTCAAATACACTGCCTTTCTCTACAACGATCAGCTCATCTGGTAGGTACACCCTACTTTGGCATGTAAAGAAGAAAGTCTCTTAGAATAAAACAGCAATGGCTGATTGGTAGCATGTTGCCAAACTGAAACTAATAGCAAGGGTCGTGGGTGGGAAGCATTTTTATAGATATTGTCAAAATAAAGCAGTGATTATTTAAACCACAACCAGAGTTATTTTGATTAAAATTGAGATTGAAAATTGATTCCATGAAAGAAACCATCAGATAAGATTTATAAATTGTATTTTTATGTCGGTGTTTTTCCAGATGTGGAAATCAATAATTTTTAATGCTTTTTATTTAAAACCTAGCTTTTTAAAATATCCAAGAAATCAAAAGTGTTCCATAGTCTAGGGAACTCCCCCCCGTCACCAAACTATGTAGTAGGAACAAAAACATGATTTCTTTTGGAGAGTTGATGTTCAAGAAGCAAAGATAAACTTCAGTGAGACCTGTGAGAGCCGGAACTTGATGGGCCTGCCTTGTTTTTCTCAGTCTTGCAAGTTTTCTGCCTTTGACAGGGTGTAGTCTTCACCACTTTTCTTTCTCATTTTAGTGGAAAATATTTGAGTTTACCTTCTCTGACAGGTTTCCCTTACACAGGTTCTGGCTTTCGCGGGTTTTACTGTATTACCAAATGCTCTCAACCACCTAAGACTAAACTCTGGGAAAACCATGTGAATGTGTGTAAGATGGCAACTGCATAGGGGATTGATCCTGAGGAGAGTGTGCCCGTCCATGCTCTTTACTTGTGGCTGAGAGGTGCTGTCTGAGCCGAGCTTCTGAGGGCTAGGCCCCTGGTAGCGCTTCTAAAAGAAGTTCTTGAGATAAAGTATGTGCGTCTGCACGGTGCCTTAGTGCAGTGCAGACTGCTGACTGTGGCTGCGTGTGGCTTGCCACTTTGGAGTTGTTGTTTCACTTAGAGTACGTGTGGATCTTGGAGCAAAATCAACAAAAGTCCACTTAGTGCTGAAAGAAAAACAGTCCCCAGAGTAACATGCAAAACAAAAAGAAAAATCAGGCTTGACAAAGTAGTAGCATCTTATCATGCATGTAAAAGAGTCGGTTGTGATTTAAGTGGAAGAAAAGTTTTTGCTTTTTGTAAAAGGGAAAATTGCTTACCGTGCTCGAGAGACTTCAGACATCACCTGAACTTCTGAGCATGAGTGTGTTGTTTCCTGTTTGGTAGCAGCCATTGATGGAACCCTAAATTATTTGCGCCTGTCAGTACGGGGTTTTGCTTGCTTTATGTATTTGTTTATTTATTTATTTTTGTGCTAAGGAAGGAATTCTGTTTCGGATTTTTTAGCTTTCTATTTTGAGATCATTGAAGATTCACATGCAGTTGTAAGAAATTTTCTGTGGTAACAGCTTGTATAACGCAAACAATATCGCTTCATTAATTTTTGTAGGAGAGAAGGGAGCAGGAATTAAGGGAGACAGATATGGTGAGATAGTCGCTATGGTCAGAGTGAATGGGGATCTTTTAACAGAGGCATAGTGGGAATTGGCCTACTTGGTGTTTTGTGCTCTGAACAGCTGGCTTCAACTGTCTTTATTTTTTTTGTTTTTAAAATGCTTGAAGTCAACACTGAAATATTTAATGGCTAGCAGGTCTGATGTAAGGAGCCTAGGTGGCGCAGAAGTTAAGCGTTCGGTGGTTAACCGAAAGGTTGGTGGTCAACCCACTCAGTGGCTCCACAGGAGAAAGACCTGACGATCTGCTCCTGTAGAAATTACAACTTAGAAAATCCTATGGGGCGGTTCTGCTCTGTCACATGGGGCCGCTATGACTCGAAAATCGACTCGACAGCATCTAACAATAGGTCTTTAGTGAAATAAACAAAGCTCTAAGTACAGTGTACGTAAATAAACAGTAAGTGTTGCCTTCCATTTCCTTTTATAGTTTTCTACTCCATGCCCTGTGGTCTAGAGCAGTGCCGTCCCGTAGGAATACAATGCAAGCCACACATGTAATTTTAAATATTCCAGTAGACATTTAAACTAAAAAGAAACAGGTGAAATTAATTACAACATTAGTTCAACCTGTAAGCAATATAAAAAAATTAGTAAGCTATTTTATTCTATTTTTGTGCTAAGTCTTTGAGATCTCGTGTGTATTTTACACTCACTCTGACGAGCCACATTTCAAGTGCTCAATAGCCACAGTTCCTAATAGCTACTGTTACTGCACATGGAAACTCTAGAATACAAATTGCCCAGCCCGTTCATTCTTTATAGCTTGTCTTCTGCTTCTCATCCCTCTTCCCCAGTACTGCTTATTTATGTCTTAAAAGGAGAATGGCATGCAGAACCTGTTTTGTTTCCATCTGTGTTTTCTCTCATCTCAGTCATTTTAGCAAAAGTTTGAATTGGCGATTCTGTCAGCCTAGTTGTCTGCCTGATATTTCAGGGTTGATATTGCTGTAGGACAGAGTATTAAAGCTTTTGAACCACTTCTTGGCTTTTGGCTTTACCTTTGGACCCGGAACTTCTCTTTCTGCTTAGCAGAAAACAAAACCTGTTGCCATTGAGTTGATTCCAACTCACAGTGACCCTATAGGACAGGGTAGAACTGCCTCATAGCGTCTCCGAGGCTGTCATCTTTACGGAAGCAGACTGCCACATCTTTTTCCCCCCAGAGCGGCTGGTGGGCTTGAACTGCTGACCTTCTGGTTAGCAGCTGAGCACTTAACCACTGCACCACCAATGCTGCTTCTTAAGGGTATAGGGCCTTCTTATAGTTTTAGTTTGGACAAGACATTGTGAAAATTGAATCTTGAAAGAAGAGAGGCAGTACAGTATAGGAAGAGAAAAAGGTGAGACAGGAAAATTGGAAGTCTAGGCAAGCGGGTAGCATTTATTTGCCAACACAGACCAGACTTTTTCTAACCCATGACCTTACTGAGAAAAGAAGAGAGTGCCTCTGGGAGAAAGCGTGAAGGTGTGATTTATATAAAGTTAGATTTCTTTCCAGGATTTTCTCCATTATCTTGAATGGAAAAAACCCAGATATGAACTCATTGTTTAAAAACTGATTTCAAGTAGAGTCTGATGCCTGTAGTTCTCAGCACTTTTTCCACATGCTACTTGTTCTTTTCTCATTTCGGATTAGATGGTTTGCCCGAAAGCTTCTTTCTTTCTCTCCCTTCTTTTGCTGACACTGAAATCCAGAGAATTAAAATCGACATTTCTGAGATACAGCAGGATCAAGTTCCCTGTCTACAGCATACCAGTGTTTTTCCAGCATGCTAGGTGAAAGAATGTGGCATTACTGTAGAAACCAGAAAGCTAAGAGAAATCTTCTATCTGAAATGAGCATTGTGGTTTTTAATGCTTCCTGAATAATTCTGAGAATCAAATTTGTTGTGACTTTTTATTTAAAATGGCATATAAAATAGAGGACTACATCGGAGTAGCCTTTAGCAGATCAGGATAAAGTTCTAGTACCAGGACTCAAGTCTGATTCATTCCCTTCTTGAATTCCCATTCAGGGAAAGTACTTATTGATATAATGATGAACTTTATCATAGAGCAATAGAGAGATAGAAAACCAATTCCAAACATTTAACACAGTGCTTTTCTCATGTTTCAGGAGTGGATTAGAACAGGATGACATGAGAATTTTATACAAATACCTCACCACATCTCTATTTCCAAGGCACATTGAACCTGAGGTATGATTGGGTACTGAAAGATCACTGTATGTATATATAATGTACATATGTTTATGTGCGTGTGTATTGGGGGAGGGAAGGGGTGGAGTGACATGGTAATGGGTGGACTGATTTGTATTTTACAATGGTATGGTATTTAGAGGAGCCCTAGTGGTGCAGTGGTTAAACACTTGGCTGCTAACTGAAAGGTTGGCGGCTTGAACCCACCAGCCGCTTCACATCAGAAAGATGTGGCTGTATGCTTTGTAAAGATTTACAGACTTGGAAACCCTATGGGGCAGTTCTGCTCTGTCCTGTAGGCTCACTATGAGTTGTAATCAACTTGACAGCGATGAGTTTAGATTAACGAAAAACACTTATGATAAACTAAGTAAAAAAGTAAAATTCAAAATTGTATAGACACTTAGTTGGCATCAACTCAACAGCAGTAGGTTTGGTTGAGTGTGGTATTTAGGCAGCTCTACTTGGCTGCTAACTGAAAGGTTGGAGGTTTGAACCCACCCAGCAGCTTTGCGGGAGAAAAGACCTGGCTATCTGCTCCCATAAAGATAAAGCCTGGAAAACCTTATAGGGCAGTTCTACTGTCACAAGGGGTTGCTATGCGTTGAAATCAACTCAGCAGCTCACAACAACAGCAGTACAGTGTGCTATTTAATATATATTTATTTAGTTGCATATCAATTAGTAGCACAGAAAACCACGTATGTCAGTTCTTCTGCAGTTTGTTACATTCAAATGCAATACCAAAGGTATGTTTTTAGGACGAGGTATTCGTTGAGTTGGAGAAAACGCTGGGTTCTTAGATAGGTTCTGGGAACTTTGAAAATCCAGGCATCTTTGATAAAACAGAGGTTAATCCCAGTGTCTTTTCATCTACAAACATGAGCTCTAATTTTTAGTAAATGTCATGTTGCCTGCCTAGCTTTTCCACTCTGCTACTAAATTTCCCAATCTTCTGCAGAGAACTTTAAATAGTACTGCAGTGTTCTCTCCAAAGTATCTTTTTGGAGCTTTAATTAGGTTGAAAGTGAAAAGTGTTTGTAGCCCATTAAAAAAAAAAAAAAAAAAATCACCGTTTTGGCTCAGGTGCCCCTGTTTGTTCTATTTTCGAAGGGCATGTATTAAAACAATAGGAAAAATCTCTGCTAGAAATTGAAAGCAAGGTTTCAAAAAAGTCCTGCACGTCATTCCTTTCTAGGCAGTTTTTTGTTGTAGTTGTTGAGAATATATACAGCCAAACATACACTAATTCAACTGTTTCTACATGTACAGTTCAGTAGCATTGATTACATTCTTCAAGTTGTACAGCCGCTCTCACCCTCCTTTTTTGCTTTCTAGGCAGCTCTAATGCCATAGTTAACATTTCTTGATGCTACTGTATGCCCGACAGTGTACTAAATGCTAGTCTCATTGCATCCTGACAACAACCCTGAGGTTGGGTACCTTTTAAGTTCATCTTAATGGAGCTGAGGGGGTTTAAACGCCTTACCCAAGAGCACTCATCCAGTAAGTGGCAGAGCCAGGACTTGATCCCAGGGTCTGCGTCTGATGCTAAAGCAGTTATTTATCGCTACATCCCTCAGTCATGTTTTGTGTGGACACCTGTCTAGAAGGCTCACTTCAGGAGGCTTTTCAGCATGAGGCAGTGCTGTTGCCACGACAGCAAACTCCATCGGCTGCTTTATTACATACCTGCAGGCTTAGGCTTATAAAATCAGAAGCCACACATAGAAGCGGCAGTGTGGATATGAAAGTCAGACTGTGCATTTTTACCACTGGATTTACTATGTTTTTGACTTTTTCTTTTGAGGTTACAAGTTAAAATTTTATATAGACTAGAAGAGCATTAGTAATTTTTAGAAGAATAACACTCTTTAGCTAACATAACTGTTAGATTTGGATTTTTTTTCGAGCCCTGGTGATGCAATGGTTAAGCACTTGGCTGCAAACCAAAAGCTTGGCAGTTCGCACCCGGCTCTGCAGGAGAAAGACCTAGTAATCTGCAGAGATGAACAGCCAAGAAAACCCTGTGGGGCAGTTCTGGTACCCAGAAGTTGATGGTACCCAACAAGAACAACATGCACGTTGAAATAGTTTATCTTCCAGCAGAAGAAACTGGGAATGTGTCACCCGTATAACTCAATGAGGGGGCATGAAGTAATGGTTGAAGGCAGGGCCTCTGACCTCAGACAGGCCTGGGTTTGGTTGCTGGTGCTGCCACTTAGGAGCTGTGCGTGTTGGTGAACTACGACCTTCACCTTAGTTTCCACGTCTAGAAAGTGGGGGAAATACACTCCTCCTGGGGTGATGTGAGATAGAATTAAGTAATTTATGCCATGTGCTTAGCACATTGCCTAGCATGTGTGAGCCAAGTGGGGAATTTCAGTCACTGTTATAAAAGGAGCTAAATTGTCTGTGGAATTTAGAGTAGGATGAAGTTACGTTATGACAATTCTGATTAAAATCCGTAAATTCTTCATGTACCTCTATAATCCCCCCTCCGCTGTTTTTGTACAGGAGGGATATGGGGGAATTGATACAGAAATAGGGCACAGGACCAACTAGTAGGCATGAATGCTGTTTTTCAAAGCATCAAGAGTAAAAATCCTAATAAGTCATTTCTCAACATTAAATTTGTTTACAGTTGGCGGGTAGGGATTCACCAGTAAGGGCAGAAATGCCAGGAAATCTTCAACACTATGGAAGGTAGGACTTTTGTTCTTTGGTGTATAATATTTGGTTTTATTATCTTCTTTGGTAAAGATTAAAATCATGCACACTGAATTAGCTTTGTGCTATTTCATTGGCAGTAATCACAAAGGAAATTCTGTTGTTTCCAGTGAATTAAAACTATCATGTTCTGATTTGGTGTTTTCCAAGTGGTGTTTAGCTTCAAAAAAAAAATTGATGTATGTTAAATAGGAATGTATTCTGTTTATTCCTGTGTATGATTTACCTAATTGAATTGAGTCATCTCTGTGCTTACTTTTAAGATTTCTTACTGGACCCTTGAACCTTAATGATCCAGAAGCAAAATGCAGATTCCCCAAAATTTTTGTAAATACAGATGACACTTATGAAGAGCTCCATTTAATTGTTTATAAGGTAACAACTGCTTTTCCATCCAGCATTACAGATTAATACTAAAGTAATTATTTCTTGCATGTGTACACATGTCCATGAGTACATATGCCAGCATCCTCAGTGTTTCATGGCAAGGGTGTTGAAAGTTCTAATTATTGTGAAACTCAAAATGGGTGCTCTTCTGGAGTAGTACATTTTATTTTCAGCTCCTTTTAAACAATGTTGTTAGTGGAACAGTAACTGTCGAGGGCGGTAATTAGCAAACAGTTAAAAGTCCTGGGTGCTCAGAAATCAAAGGCTGTCAGAGGTTACTGTCTATTGATGAAATGCCTTCTGGATGTGGCCTTGGCCACACTTTAGTGACTTCTGCTTTTTTGCTTTGATTGTAAAGCTATGAACTCTGAACTCACTAACTCTGAGGATAGGATTTGGTCTCTGCCAGGATATTATGTATCTTAGGTTGGAACCTTTTTTTCAAAGGCAGTTTTTGGTTCAGGAAAGCAGACTTAAGCGCGTGGGTTTGTTGTCTTTCCTGTCTGCAACTACAATTAAACTTTAATTCATAAAGGCACGAGAAACGATACCATGAGAATGAACATCCAAAGGCGAGGAAGTTCTGCAGCTTTCTGGAAGATGGAGAAGAGATGTAAGAGTGATGCCTGGTAGAGCAGAGCAGAGGAAGCTCCAGCTTAGGTCATAAGTGGAGAGGGAGTGTTAAGGCAAGAGCTGCCTGCCCCGTGGAGCCTGCAGAAGCTCCTGGCTGGGAGGCAGTCACCCAGGAGTCAGGAGTGGGAAGTGGATGTGGAAGGAGAGGGGATAATGAAATATTGTATATAAACCCCCCTCCCTGTCCTTAAGTCATGGTGGTGCAGTGGCTAAGTGCTCGGCTGCTAACTGAAAAATTGGTGGTTCGAACCCATCAGCCACTCCGTGGTAGAAAGATGTGGCAGTCTGCTTCTGTGTGAAAATTACAGCCATGAGAACATTATGGAGCAGTTCTACTCTGTCCCAGTAGGATCACTATGAGTTGAAATTGACTTGACGGCAGTGGGTTTGGTTTGTTTTATTTTTCCCCCTCCTTGCACACAGTCGGGCCTACAACTGAGCACCTATACTTGAGTGAAAATTGAGGGTCTTTTTTTTTTCTCTTATTTGTGGTAAAAAATATGTAACACAACATTTGCCATTTCAACATTTTTTACACGTACACGTACAATTCAGTGACACTAGTTACATTAATCATGTTGTGCAGTCACCAATATCCATCGTCAATTTTCCATCATCAATAACAGATACTCAATTCTTCCTAAACAATGCCCCCCACTTCTTCTAACCACTAGTAAACTTTGGTCTCTATACGTTTGCCTATTCTAGACATTTTGTATAAGTACGATCGTACACTATTCTTTTATGATTGACTTATTTCACTCAGCATATGTTCTCAAGGTAAATGAGGGTCTTTTTTTTTAAATATTTATTTTTGGTAAAAATATACAGAGCAAGTCATGCACCCGTTCAACAATTTCTGCATGTACCTTTCAGTGACATTGGTTACGTTCTTCACACTGTGTCAGCAATCTCGCTGTCTCCAGTTGTTTCACCACTTGTTACCTGAGACTCACTGCCCTCCAAACTTCTCACCTGTGTTTCAGAGTTAATAGTTGTCAATTTGATCTCATATATATAATCTTTTTAAAGAGTGCAATACTCAAGGCATGTGTTCTTTAGTAATTGAGCTAAACTACTGTTTAGTTTAAAGATGACTTCAGGACATGGTTTTGGTTGAAGGTTTAAAGAGTATCTCAGGGCAATAGATTTGGGGGTTCTTCCAGTCTCAGTGAGTCCAGTACATCTGGCATCTTTAAGAATTTAAAATTCTGTTCCACCTTTTTCTCCCTTTTCATCAGGGTCCATCTATCGTGTCCCTGATCAAAATGTTCAGTAATTGTAGCAAGGCACTAGTCAGTTCTTCTGGTCCTTATAGAGGAGGCAGTAGTTCATGGATGCAGGTAGTCTTGCAGACCAGTTCCTTTAATTGAGGGTGCTTTTAAAGAAAGTAAACAATCTGGAGAGACCTAGAGTAGCTAATGTGGGCATCAGCGCCTAAGAAGGGCCTGCACTCTTTCTGCCATTGCTATGTACTCAGCACTAAAGGGCAGCCTCCCTCCCAGCTCAGCCTTTCGTAGCTTCGTCCTTAAATATGGTTGGAAAAACGGACAAAACTGCAGATCCTGAAAAAAACAGAAATCATTCCGGGAACAGAAGAGAACTTCTAGAAATTCTGATTAGCTTTCACAGAGATTAGAAAAGATATGTCTGTAAAATTGAAACAGAATGATATGAAAGAGTTCAGGTTATACTAACCTCAGATTAACTGAAAATATTTTTTTTTCACGTGCAGTCACTTTTTGTGCTTTAGGTGAAGGTTTACAGAGCAAATTAGTTTCTCATTAAACATTTAATACACATATTGTTTTATGACATTAGTTACCAACCCCTCGACGTGTCAACACTCTTATCTTCTCGACCTTGGGTTCCCCGTTTTTATTTTTCCAGCTTTCCTGTCCCCTCCTGCCTTCTTGTTCTTGACCCTGGGCTAGTATGCTCATTTAGTCTCATACACATAGTTGAGCTGCATGTGTATTGTTTGTTTTACGGGCCTGTCTTATCGTTGGCTAAAGGGTGAGCCTCAGGAGTGACTTCAGTATTGGGTTAAAAGTGTGTCCAGGGGCCATACTCCCGTGGTTTCTCCAGTCTGTCAGACCAGTAAGTTTGGTCTTTTTTTGTGAGTTTGAATTTTGTTCTACATTTTTCTCCAGTTCTGTCTGGGACCCTCTGTTGTTATCCCTGTCAGAGCAGTAGTAGTGGTAGCCGGGCACCGGCTAGTTGTGTTGGACTCAGTCTGGTGGAGGCTGTGGTAGTTGTGGTCCGTTAGTCCTTTGGACTAATCTTTCCCTTGTGGTTTTCTCAGAATATGGAACGCATCACAAATTTGCATGTCATCTTTGCACAGGGGCCATGCTAATATTCTGTGTATCGTTCGAATTTTGGTATATGTGCTGCCGAAGTGAGCACTGAAAATATAAATTTTGAAATAAGAAATTCATTAAAAGAGTTAAAAATAAGTTGGACTGCCCCAGAATGTAGGATAAAATGGCAAGAGATAAAAACAGGAGAGGAAAGGTGAGAGAGAGGATCAATTCAGAATTTCAACCATCTGACTAACAAGGTAGAGGAGAGGAAAATAGTAACATAGTATTGCAAGAAAATACCTAGATGAAGAACACAATTTTCCAGGTTAAAAAGGCCCACTGAATATCTAGTGCTGTAAATAAAAAAGACTCACACCTAGAAACAACAGTGATCAAGGTCAGAAATTCAGAGATGAAGACAAGATCCTAAAAGCTTCCAGAAGAAAAATCAGGTCGCCTGTAAAGGAACAAAAATAAAACTGGCATTAGTGGTTTCACCACCAGTGCCAGATGTTAGTTGACAGTGGAAGAGGGGCTTGATTTTCACTGTAGAATTCTTTGCCCTGCCAAACTATCAATCACAGATAAGACAACAGAAAGACATTTTAAACATGAAAATTCTTAAAAAGAGTACCCCACGTATCCTTCCTTAGGATGTCACATGAGGTTGTACCTCAGCAGAGTAAGTGAGTACCCCGGGAGAGAAAACAGTGGAACCCAAAACAGTGGTTCTAATCCATGAAAAGAGTAAAAGGACGTCTGGACGTGATAGTGCCCTTAAGATCTGCTGATGAACTTACCACCACAGTGCCTCCGTAATGGAAAAGACAGAAAGAGGGCTTTGGGGTCTGATGACTCCAGGACAAAAAGATATTTCATTCATAAAATAAGACATTTGATAAAACTTAGAATGTAATAAAGGCGCAGAATGGGGGCGGGGGCATGGTGGGCCAGACTCCATGGAAAATATCTAAAATGATGTGGTAGGAAAATGAAACAAACTAAAATGAGGCATTTTGATCAGTAATTGGAGTGGCAGCTAAAATCATGCTTCTTTGAATGACTCAGGTGTAGGGACTTTGAACCATCAATGAAGGAAATATGAGCCTGGTACACTAGGTTGTTTATTGGGTTTCAGTTTTTAGAGTCAACCTATAGATATAATTTATTTTAGGTGTGATAATGACATTGTGGTTATGTTAAAAAATTCTTATCTTTTTTTTATCATCTTCATTGAGATATAATTTGCAGACCATATCTCTTAGTTATCTAGTGCTGCTATAACAGAAATAACACAAGTGGATGGCTTTAACAAAGAGAAATTTATTTTCTCACAGTCTAGGAGGCTAGAAATCTGAATTCCAGGACGCCAGCTCCAGGGGAAGGCTTTCTCTTGCTTATGGCTCTGGGGGAGGGTCTTTGTCATCAGTCTTCCCCTGGTTGAGGAGCTTCTCTGCACAGGGACCCCAGGTCCAAAGAACACACTGTGCTCCTGGTGCTTCCTTCTTCGTGGTATGAGGTCCCCATGTCTCTCTACTCTCTTCTGTCTTTGGTATCTCAAAAGAGATTGACTTAAAATGCAACCTAATCTTGTAGATTGAGTCCTGCCTCATTAACATAACTGTTGATAATCCCACCTCATTAACATAGAGGTAGGATTTACAATACATAGGAAAATCACATCAGATGACAGAATGGTGGACAATCACACAGTACTGGGAATCATGGAGTAGCCAAGTTGTCACACATTTTTGGGGGGACACAATTCAATCTGTAACACCATACAATACATATAAAGTATACAGTTCAATGGTTTTTTGTTGCAAAGTTCAAGATTCCCCAAGGCCATCCTACTTCTGACACCAGCCACGAGTTTAGGGGGGTCCTCAAGACCACCCTCAAATTAAATGATTCACTGGAAGGTCTCACAGAACCCAGAAGGGTCAGCTGTACTCACAGTTAGGGTTTATTACAGTGAAAGGATACAGATGAAAATCATCCAAAGGAAAGGGCACACGGGACAGAGTCCAGGAGTCACCAGCTGTGAGCTTCCAGTTGTCGTCTTCAGTGGAGTCATGCAGATGACACTCATTTCTCCCAGCAGCAATGGCATATTGCCCACCAGGGACGCTCACCCCAGGCCTTGGTTTCCAGAGTTTTTATTAGGGGTCAACAAGGCTGACCACTCATGTTACTGACTTTAGTTTCCAACCTCTCCAGGGACTGAGCTGATACCACATGACCCAAGACCCCCACCATAAGTCACATGTTAGCACAGACTATCTGGTGTGGCACAAGGCACTCAGGTAAAAAAGGTACTTTTATTAGGCAGAACATTCCAAAGAATTTAAAGGAGTCAGGGGCAAAGGCCAGACCTCTCTTTGGGCAAGGTTAATCCTTTACTGCACCCTAGTATATTGACAAAGGAACCCAGGTGGTGTAGTGGTTAAGCACTTGGCTGCTAACTGAAAGCTTGGCGATTCAAACCTACCAGCCACTCTGTAGGACAAAAGACCTGGTGATCTGTTCCCATAAAGATTTCAGCCTAGAAAACCCTACAACCCGTTGTACTCTGTTCTGTTGGAATCCACTCAGTGGCACGCAACAACAACAGTATATTCACAACCATCAGCGCATCGATTTTAGATCATTTTCTTCTCCTCAAAAGGAAATCTTACACCCATTAACCATCTTTGCCTGTTCCTCTCTCCCCCAGTCCCTGGCAACTAATCTACTTTTTATCTCTATATAGATTTGTCTGTTCTGGACATTTCATATAAATGCAGTAATACAGTATGTAATCTTTTGTGACTGGCTTCTTTCACTAAGCATGTTTTCAGGGTACATCAATGTTGAACTATTTCTCAATACTTCATTACTTTTTATGGATTAATATTCTGCTATATAGATACGTTTTTATTATTCACAAGTTAATAGACATCTGGGTTGTTTCTTCTTTTTGACTCCCAAGAATAATGTTGCGCTTGATGCCTCAGGAAGAGAAAACTGCAGGCCAATCTCTTCTTTTATTGTGCTTTAGGTGAAATTACAGTTCAAGTTAATTTCTCATTCGAAAATTCATGCACATATTGCTTTGTGACATTGGTTGCGATCTCCACAATGTAATAGCACGTTCCATCTTTCCACCCCGGGTTCCCTATGAGGCCAGTATCTCTTATGAATATAGATGCAAAAATCCTCAACAAAATTCTAGCGAACAGAATCCAACAGCATATTAAAGGAGTCATACACCGTGACCAAATGGATTTTTTCTAGGAATGCAGGGATGGTTCAACAAATTTAGTCACCACATCAATAGAACAAAGGAAAAGAACCACATGATCATCTCTGTGAATGCAGAAAAAGCATTTCATAAAATCAAACCCCATTTTTGATGAAAACTCTAAAGAAGATTGGAATAGAAGGGAAATTCCTCAGTATGATTCAGGGCATATATGAAAAGCCAATGGCCAACATTGTACTTAATGGAGAAAGACTGAGAGCTTTCCCTTTGAAAGTGGGAAAAAGACAAGGGTGCATGCTCTCACTGCTTCTATTCAATATTGTATTAGAAGACCTAGCCAGAGCAATAAGACAAGAAAAAGAGATTAAAGGTATCCAGGTTGGAAAAGAAGTAGAATTATCTTTATCTATGAAAGATATGATCCTATATATAAAAAATCCCAAAGAGCCTACAAGAAAACTTCTAGAGCTAATAGAGAAATTTAGCAAAGTTACAGGGTACAAGGTCAACAAACAAAAATCACTTGGGTTTCTATACACCAGCAGTGAGAAATCTGAAAGGGAAATTAGGGAAACAATTCCATTTAAAATAGTATCTAAGAGAATAAAATACCTAGGAATAAATCTAACCAGGGTGTGAAGGACTTACACAATGGAAACTGTAAAACACTGCTGAAAGAGATTAAAGAAGACTTAAATAAATAAAAAGATGTTCCATGTTCGTAGATTGGAAGACTTAATATTGTTAAGATGTCAATACTACCCAAAGCAATCTATAGATTCAATGCAATCCCAATAAAAATTCCAACAGCCTTCTTTACAGAAATAGAAAAACCAATCCTTGACATTATATGGAATGGCAAGAGGCCCTGAATAGCTAAAGAAATGTTGAAAGAGAACAAAGTAGGAGAACTCACACTTCCTGATTTTAAAACATACTATACAGCTACAGTAATCAAAACAGCCTGTTACTGGTATAATAATAGACACATAGACCAATGGAATAGAATTAAGAGTCCAGAAATAAACCCACACATCTCTGGTCAACTAATTTTTGACAAGGATGCTAAGTCCATCTGATGGGGAAAGAAGAGTCTCTTCAATAAAAAAACTCCTCAAAAAAACTGGTTGCCATTAAAGTCGATTCTGACTCATAGTGACCCTACAGGACAGAGTAGAACTGCCCCACACAGTTTTCAAGGAGCGCCTGGTGGATTCGAACTGCTCACCTTTTGATTAGCAGCCGTGGCTCTTAACCACTATGCTACCAGGGTTTCCCTTCAATAAATGGTGCCGGGAAAATTAGATTTCTGCATGCAGAAAAATGAAACAGGATCCATGCCTCACACCATACACAAAACCAAATTCAGAATGGATTAAGGACTTAAATGTGCACACTAAAATAATAAATTTCTTAGAAGAAAAAGCAGGGGCAATGCTGTCTGTCCTAGCTTTTAACAATGGATTATCTAACATAATAACAAAAGCACAAGCAGCAAAGGACAAAATAAATAAATGGGACCTCATAAAAATGAAAAACTTCTGTTCATCAAAAGACTATACCAAAAAAGCGAAAAGACAAGCTACTGACTGGGAGAATATCTTAAGAAACCATATATCCAACAAGAATCTAACAACCTATATATATAAAACTTGGACACCTTAACAACGAAATGACAACCCAATCATAAAGTGGGCAAAGCACTTAAATAGACATTTCACCAAAGAGAACATTCAAATGGCCACCAAGATGCTCAGCATCATTAGCCATCAGAGAGATACAAATAGAAGCCACAATAAGATACCATTTCACTCCCGCTAAGGAGCCCTGGTGGCACAGTGGTTAAGAACTCAGCAGCT